TCCTGGAAGAACCAACGTGGAGATTTCTTCTCGCTTCTGGTGGAAGCCACACATTTGGCAGCAGTTTTAGCAAGGATGGAGACTTTTGCAGAGCCCCGGGTCCCGGGCTGAGCTCTCCTGCACAGCTGGGCAGTGGTCAGGCCCCGAGTGCCCACCTGGGGACACCAGAGCACCATGCGCCCATCCTGCTCCCCACCGAGTGAGCTCCCGTCTGCTCAGCTGCCCCGGCTAAGTCCTGAGAGCTCTGGGAAATCAAGCACAAGGTGGACTTCCCCCAAGCAGTGATCCACTCCTTCTAATTCTGCGTGGATAAGCCACACTTTGTGTATTGATTCTAGAGTGGGACATTTGGGTTGTTTTTATTATTATTATTATTTTGGACACAGGGTTTCGCTTTGTGGTTCATGCAGGCCTCAAACTCACTATTTAGCCCAGGTTGGCCTGGAATGGCAGCAGCCTCTCATTTTTCCATTTCTTTTTAAAACAATAATAACATTGTTGCTGTGGACATATTTGGATGCAAGTGTTTGTATGGGTAACTGTATGCATTTTGAGTCTCCATGACTTTGCTTACATACCCTATATTATTATAGTTCTACCCCCTCCTTTCTGGTACTAGAGGTAAGGAATGAACCCAGGCCCTCGTGCATGCTGTGCAAGCACTCTAATACAAAGCTACATTCCCAGCTGCTTTATTTTCTTTTATTGTTATGACAGGGTCTGCAGAGGTTGCTCACGGTGGCCTGGGTCTGCGATCTTCTGGCCTCAGTCTTCCAAGTAGCTGGGATCACAGGCGTGTGCCACTAAGGCCAACTAATAGCCACACTTGGAATCTCGGTAATGAGGCTGTAAAACATCGAAGTTCAAAGACTGGGTCCCAGAGACAAGCTGCCTCTTTTCAGCCCTGAATCATCCCGTCTTAGTTGTGCATGGTTAAGACAAGTTACGTAACCTCACCGGTGTCAGGATCTGCTCACTTAGAGCTAATACTGCTTCCGAATTATTCTTGATAAGAGACAGATGAGTCCAACCCACAGCGCTAGAAAAGACCTGAGTAACAGACTTAACACCAAAACCATATGATGCAAAAGAAAAATAAAACTTTTAAGCAAACAAAAATATGCAGATACGCATTTTGAGCAACAATAACACCATCAGGATTGATAGAGTAGAAATACGCTAAGCTTTGTTTCAGGAAAGAAATACACGGTCACATGATAAGTGGTCCAGAACTGAACAAACTAACAGAGAAGCGGGTCTCAAACAGGGGAGAGCTTCGTACCGCGGGGAGGCTGGGGCTGGGGCTGTAGCTGCCTGGTGGAGAGCAGCCCAGGCCATGGGTTAGATCCCCGCCCAGCAAAGACGTGCCGCACTGTATTGATGTCATTATCCTGGTTGTGATAAGAAGTTTTTCCAAATCTTGCCAGGGGGAGACTCAGGGCAGAGTGGACTTGGACTTTTTACATTACTTCATATAACTGGATGTGAATGCACAAATTATCTTAATACAAATGTCAACTACCAGTACATAATATTCCCAGGTGAGGTGGTGCATGCCTGTAATCCAAGCTACTCAGGAAGCTGAGTCAGGAGGATCGCAAGTTAAAGGTCAGCCTGGGCAACTTAGTGACTCAGCAAGACCCTATCTCGAAATAAGGAGAAAAAATTTTTAGAGATTTTTTAAAATGTTTTAAAAGTTAAAAAAAATAAAAAGGGTTAGGAATGTACTTTAACTCAAAGGCTTTGAGTTCAATATCCAACACTTACGTATAATATATATAACTATAATTATTATATATATGAAATTTGTGATCCCAGAATAAATTGCTAAAACCCTCTGGACTATATGCTTCCATGGGTGGCTTTCACATCCACGTCTTCATACTTAGAGCTGATACTGCTTCTGATTTACAGTTGTGATGGGAGATAAATGACCCCAACTCACAGTGCCAGAAAAGACCTGAGTAACAAAAGACACCATGTAGAAGTTGCTTTATATAAAACCACTGTGACCATCTTCTTCCATCTGCACCCGCAAGACCTCTTCCTACATCTCTGTTATGCTTTGAGAATAGATTATACATTTTCTAGGGAAATCACATTATTGTTTGTTAGGTCCCCCTGGGAAACACAAAGACAAAGGAATCAGTAACCTCTCCGATACCCAGAGAGAAATCGGATTTAAAAGAAACACCTGCAGTAATTTAGTGAGGCAGCTCATTGGTTCCCGCTACGAGTCCTTCAAAACACTTCACCGTTGTTTATCCATCTTGTATTTTCATTCCCAGATTTTTCAGAGTCTGTTCTGAACACTCTTCCGTAAGTATAAAACAGAGAGTTCCAACTTTTTCAAACTCCAGGCAGGTTGTTACTATTGCTGAACTTACTTTCCACGAAAGGGTAAACTCTCCCTGCTACTCTGCACTGTGAAGGGTGACACGTGTAACTAAAGGGAGAAAGTGTAAGTTGAAGCTGATACAATGTACTACTCTGGAGTAGGCGACCCCAAATCAATGTTATCGAGCAAAGATGAAATAGCTTAAGCCAGGGATCGTGCACTGTACAGTGCAGGGTCTGAATCCTGCTGGGAATAATCAAGCTTGGGCACCGCGGTCTCCGCTGTCCCCTTCTGCACCTTCTCTCCTGCCATGGCCAGCCCAGCCGTGCTGGCCAAACTCACCCTCTCACGTCACAGAGTTCACTACGCTGGCAGCAGGCCGAGGCAGCGCCTGGCGCTCTGGACCCGGGAAACACTGTACGCTTGGCACAATCACTTGTGGTTGTGTTCTGCAGCGGTGTTTCCAAGATAACCAGTGGCTGCACTTGGCAACCCGGCTCTCCCACACTTAGGGCTGCAGCTGTAAAGCTGGCTTGGCGATGCTTGCCTGCTGTGGGTGTAACAGGCAGGTTGGTGGCATCACTGAGAAAGGGTTATTCTCATGAACCAGTCCTGACAGCTGGTCCCAAGTTTTGGCCTGTCCCCATATTAGGAGACAATTACATGAAAATAGTTCATTGGGTTATTTACAAAACAAAGAAAACTGTATCTCAACACCTAAACCATGGTAGCACATGCCTGTAATTCCAGCATTCTGGGAGGCCGAGGCAGGAGGACTGCAAGTTCAAACCCAGCCTGAGCAATTTAGTGATGAAATGTAAAGAGACTCTGTCTCAAACAACAGCAAAACAACAAAACAAACCACTGAACTTGTATTAGAAGCATTCACAGCATTAAAAAGTAGATCTAATGTTTTGCAAATACCAGAGAGTCTATAATACTAACAAGTCTACATCATCAAACATCCATAGCTTTGGAAGTTTTTATTTCCAGCAATTTCATAATAATTCACTGACATGGATTACAGGCAGGATGAAAACTAGTTTCTGCTAGGTGTGTCTGTGAATCATAAGAAGGGTTTCGTGGCAAGCTCAGCAAACAAGGAAACACTTTTCAGCAGTGGCCCTTGGTTCGCACCGCTGGGTATGGGTGGAGCCCTGGAGGAATCGGCAGAGAAATTCGAGCTTCCACAAGTGAAACCAAAACACTAATTTCAGTTTTTGTCAGCAATACAAACCCAGCGCCCCGTGAGGACTCTGGAAGTCTGTCACAGCCAGAATCGCGAGTCCGGGCAGGTGCACTGCACCGGCCCTGGGAGTGACACCGACCTGCCAAAGCTGGGACCACGCGTCACCCGCAGAACTTCACCTCCAGGCCTGACAGCACAGCCCAGGACCAGGAAGGCCTGAAGAGCTCCGCAAGTGCGTGCATTTAAACAAAGCGAGGCACTTCCCTCCTCCCAAGGTAATTTCTCAACAAACGCTCCCCAAGCAGGCCAAGCCCTCCGTGCCCTGCGCTAACCAATGAGCGGCCTCCCTTCCTAGCGTGGGCGATGGTTTTCCCCTGGGGACCCTGTGCTAGCGCCTCCAGTATCAATGATTGAAACAAACCTAACCACCTTTCCAAAGACCAGAATAGCAAGAGTTACAAATTAAGCTACTGAGGACAAACACCGTCAATCTGATTCATGCAGCATTGTCCGTTATTGTTTTTCCTTCCGTTCACCTATTAAGCTGACAAATGCCTCCTAAACTTCAGTTTAACTCTCCAATCTTTCACCAACACTTCTCTGCTTAGTAACACACGTTCTTAAGAAACCAGTATCTATGGCGTTAAAATCTACACTGTATTCCAAACGCCTTAGGAAGCGCAGATACCTCCCCTTCGGTGTTTCAACTTTCATTAAAATGCAAATGGAATGGTTTCTTTCCCTAGGCAGCAACAATACCCGGAGCCCTAACCCAGCCAACAACAGCTGTGCTCTCCCAGGAGCAACTTCGCCGGCACAGGGTCCCTCCTGCGCGGGTCGCCTCCTGAGGAGTATTTTTTGGACTCGGGTTTGCATTACACTCCGACTGGGGCGGGGAAAGTACAGTGCGCGGTCTGAGCTCTGAAACCCACGCGTGGGTTCTACTCCCGGACGGGCGGTCACCACGAGCGCACTGCGCCGTAGCCGAGACCGACGCCCGGGCACCCGCGCCCGTCGGCGAGTCCGTAACCCGAGGGAGGCGCGTCCCGCGGGCCAGGCCGCACTTTACTTCGCAGCAACAGCAAAGTCCGTAGAAGCGGGGAGGCAGAGGCCCAGGGAGGACGGAGGAAGGGCGGAAGGCGGCGGGGCCCCGCGCCCGCGCCCGCGCCCCTTTGTGTCGCTGTCACTCGCGGCACAAAGCGCGAGCCCCGCGCTGCGCCCGGCCGGCGGCGAGGCCCGGGCGGGG